TGATTGAATGCGGCCATAAAGCCCAATCTATTCAAAATGACTTCAACATTTATTACTCTTGGCTTGCCCGTGGCCCACTGGGGAGCGAGGCGTGGGCCGATGCAGACGCAGTTCCGTCAACAAATGACCGTAAAAGTGAACGCGAGCATAAAAGTTTGGCCCTCCGCAGGACAGTCCTCGCCCTGTGCCGCCGCTTTTTTGGGGGGGGGGGGGGGGGGGGGGGGGGGGCGTGCCGTCAAGTGTCAATCTCCGAGTCAAAAGCCAGAGATTTGCCGAAAGAAGCGATCTTCAAGTCTGCCTTCGTAGCCCGCAAGTTCCCGAAACGTTCTTTGAAGCGTGGCTCCGCAGAAACGACGGCGGCGCTGCGCCGCGTTCATGGCCACGCGCTGGCACTTTTTGACCTTCTTGTCGTTTTCGAGCGCCGTTATTTGCGCTCCAAGATAAAGCGGCGCCGTGAGAAAGCGTGTGTGACGTGGGCGCGGGCTGCTGAAAAATGATGGCAAATATAGTTGGGCCACCACAGCACCAACGTCCCCGGCAGCCCTTTGTATTTCTCAGCCCCCGAGAAGAAGGAGCTGTCCCTCGCAAAAAGGTTGGCGGTGCCCGCTCACACCGGCCACGCCCGTTTCCCGGATTACGCCAGGTGTGCGGCTTCTTTGCAAAACTGTCTTTTGGCAAAAAAGGGGGACGCGGGGGGACAAAAACCAAAGTCGAAGGCACCCGGGAAGCGTTTGAAACCATTTTTCTCCCCTTGATAAAGAGGAAGAATGATGAACAATTGGCCACTTTTGTCCAGACTCGCCAGGGCATACGAATGAGACGGGCTCTCATAATCAATGGCTTTCAGGTCTCATCAAATGACTCTCTTTTGATGGCTCCCACACCCGTCGCCGTGCCTAGTGACCACCCTGGGAGTCGGCGCAGTTATTTTGGTCATCGATAAAACAAGTTGGCAACTTGATGCTTTTCTTTTTTTTTTTTTTAACTGGCCATTAAGTGGGGAAATTTGCATCGATTCTGAGCACATCATGATTCTTGCGCATACGTGTGCTGAGAATGGAGCTACGGGGCAGCCTGTCGGCAAAAGCGGTGCAGGTTTCCCCGTGGCTCATCGACAATAGCGGCGCGCTGTTCTTTGTCAAGCCTTCCCTCGCCTGGTTTTGTAAATAAAAACAACAAGCCGTCATTCGGAATGAGTGGGGCAGAACTCGGTCGACAGTACACGCTTTTTCCTCTCGGCGCCGCGGCCTCGTCGAGATGAGAGTGAGGCGAGAGCAGGAAAGACATACATGGCGCTGCCCGATGATGACTCGCGAGTGCGGTGCATCCCGAAGAACTGCAGCGGGAGCTGCGTAACCACGACGGGCTAGCCTTGATGCTGTGAGTCATCTGTTCCGATTCCATTCGAAGAAAGCCCTCGGGCGGCTCAACAATACCGCGTCGGGAACACAAAAGCCTGTACGGGAGAAATAATTACGCTATTTGCCGTGCCCGAAAATTCAATATCCACGCGTGCCACTACGGTGCGTACACTGTATAAATCACTTGGATTGATGAAACAGTATTGAACGCCTTTTGTCCCATCTGGGCCCGATGACTCCAATGCACTTTGCTGTCATGCCAATCCGCCGCACGATATCCACGACTCGGCACGAGAATCGATTTTCAGTTGGACTGTTTTTGGTGCTTTCGACCGTCCTCGTCGTTGGACGAATTCTTTCTGCTCCCCGCGCAGCACTTTGTTGAGAGCGGCGGTTGTTTTCAAGTCTTTGATTTGATGAACGTGAATCATTTGGGCTTTGGAGAGCTTTTGCCCGTTGTGACAAAATGACAAAAGCTCGTCGTCGTCACCTCACGCCGAAGTGAATCGAACTGTTCCATTTCAAAACGTACTGATCTTAAATCGTATCGAGATATCGGTCAGGTCATCATTTAGTGAATGGAGACTCCTCACATATAGGTACGCACTGTACATATGTATGCTTATAAATGTATCCGAAAGGTATTCGTTTTTTTGTCCGTTTTTAGAGGGTGCTTGCTGGTTGTTTTTTGTTTCTTTTAAGTAGATTTCATTTTCTTTTTTATAGTCTGCATCCGAACACTCAGAAACGCTACTTGATATTTAACATGGCCACATACACCAATGAATGCATGAATACTTGTGCAAACATTTTTTTTTTTTTTTTTTTTTTGTTCTTGGACAGGATGGCTCGAAAGAAAGGAAAGTGTTTTCAATTCATTTTGCACAGCCGTCATTGTGGCTCGCGCTCTTTGTAAATGCAAAGTTGTCATTCAGGGAGCACCGTTACTTGTGCTTTCTGTATTGCTTTCACGGGGCTTTTCATTCGTCAGTGTTCACCGCCTCACTCATCCCCCCCCCCTTCCCCCCTCCCCTCTCTTTGTCTTGCACGCATGCAAGGCCAGCGAGTGTGGGAGTCGAAGGGATGACTCATCTGTCGCACACCTCATCGCCGTCCGACCATATATGGGCTGCCCGGAAACCCATTTGACTGCGCTTGCAGCTGTGGAGAGGAGCAGGCGATTTTCGAGACGGCATTTAGATCGCTTCCTCGTTGCCTGTTGAATTTATTAGGAGTGGAGACCTAATTACACTGGCTTCTTTTTTTGATAAAAATGACATCTGATGGATGAGCGCGCTGCTGCAGCAATGTGAGCATCTGCAGCTTGCAGGTCGGTCCAGTCGGCATATGCGCTCGCGGTGAAAGAGACACGTTGAAAAAGATTGTACTCTCAGCATTTTCCATCATGCGCGCTTCACTCCGAAGCCTTCGTTCTTGCCCCATTTCCGGTTGAAGGAGCTTTTCAAAAGTTGCACCTCTTTCAAGACAAAAAAAAGCTTTGCGCCTCGTAATTGGCGTCAGGTCGAAGAGTGCGCAAGTGGCAAACGAGGGGAATCGAGCGCGATTGGAGAGGCGGCGATAAGCCGTGAAAACGGACGGCAGCTCCAAGAAACAAAGGCGCGCGAGGAAATGGTTCACGGCGACCGTTTCATCCTCTTTCCATGTGGCTTAACGACATCCAAGCAATCGCCACGCCAACGGCGCACGAATAGCAATCGAACGTGCGCACTCCACTTCCGATTCGTCTTCAACCGTCAAAGCGCTCTGATTGGCCTTGATGCGCTCGATATGACCTGCCTGTTCAATCTTGGCGACAGTGGCATTCATTTGACATTTCAGAAGAACGGGTGTCAAACATGTCAGGCGAAGAGACGGAAGGCTTGGAACTTTGAAGACGCTCGCCTTTCGAATCTCTCCCGAGAGAGCGCTCCTCCTTTCTCTGGCCAGCGCTTCGCAAACGACTCGTTCAATCCAAACGTAAATCGAGCGATGGGGAAAAAAAAAAAACAAACGACAGGGCACACGCATTACATAAAGAGGCCAAAGATAATCACCGACGTGTATTTATTTGCAGCACACAGTTTAATATCGATTTACTTCAAGTGTAATCGTTTTGAAAAAGGGTCTGTCAGTTTCGAGCTATGTTCCGAAATAGCAAGGGGCATAAACCGGCTCCCTCGGCGGCGGCACCAATTTGTACTTCAATTTTCATCGCATCCAAGCAATTTGGCGGCGAGCGTCCCATACAAAATAACAACAAAAACAGACGGCGAGCGGCTTGGGCGCCTCTATAAATGGCTCTCTAATTCCGTTTTTCACTGAAGGTTGCCCTATTGGGCCTGCTACCTCGCACAGGACCACCCCTTCCATGAGAGGTAATTGGCTCTCAAATTGGATCCGACCCGGCAGGCAAATGAACTCTATATTTGCACGGCGTTAGTCATGGCAACCGCTGACCCGAGGGGCAAACTCTTCATGTCATGTCAAATGACTCCCGTGGACAAAATGTGGGTTGATGCGAGACGAGTCTGACTAGCCCAAATAGGCGGGCGGGCTTCGGCGCTCGGTCCGGTTCATCCACTTCATGCTACCCTATGGGAAGGTTACGGCCCATCAGGAACTCCGTTCCCCCAAAATAAAAACGCCTTCCGCGACATCCCCTGCAAATTAGGCGGCGACACTGGTCGTGCATCACCTCCTCCACTCAACTCGAGCGATCATTCACTGCCAGCCATATGAGAGCATTTCGACTCTCGGGCAAGGGCCCGCCGGGAATTTCGCAAAATCCCCCCGGATGAAATATTTGAGATGTGGCACAACTTGTCTGTGATGTCTGAGCTATTTTCATGAGGCATTTAACTCGAGGTTATCAAAAAAAATTTAAAAAAAAAAAAAAAAAAGAAGAAGAAAAGCCCACTTTCTCAAAATCACCTTTTTTGGGGGTTGTTTTGACATTTTCACCTTTTCTGATCCATGTTCTTTTGCACTCTGAGAAGAATTCCATCAACTCATTTGCGGTGTGTGCGAGTTTCATGTGCCACGAGCGTCGGAAGCCAAGCTTCATGCCGCATTTATCTTTGCCGAATGGAATGAAACACGTTTCCTGGTATGACGCAAAAAGGAACAAAGACTGCTTCATTTCCTTCCAGTCGCTGACGACTCTACGACTTGACCGGCGGGTTCTCATCGTCCATTGACAGCTGGGTCAGGTCGGCCGCTTTGAATCTTTTGCAGGGTTTACATTTCTTTGGAGTTGGTTGACACAAACTCTTGCTTTTATCATAAAAATCTTTGAAATCGCAACAAATTGATGGTCGAGATTTTGCGCGATGTATCTCGAGGCCCCTATTTGATGACCTGGAGATCTTGGGCTGTCATGCTTGAACCGGCGTGAAAGGCGTCCACGCGTTCTTTCTCTGGAACTTTCGACAACTCTTAAATCAACTTTCAACAGTCACAAAAGCTCCACGGCTTGTCCCTTCTCTTCGGACAAACATGTCCCCTGGCGTGTCGTACCCATGACAGGTTATTGACGCAAATGTATCTCTTTGTTCCTTTGCTTTGGGTTCACATGTTCCAATTTTCATCCCGAAGGAAAATCCAGCGCAAAATACAAGGCGTTGACAACTGGGTACCAACCTACAGAGCGATTCACTGTCCCCATGGCAACCCGAAGAGCGGAGCAAGCGATGATAGCACAACGGCGGCGTGTGGGAGAGGGGCAGCCAGCTGTCTCACAAGCATTTCGGACGTTCATCTGCACAGAAGCAAGAGGGCAATTTTGAGTTCTGCACAAAAACGACACAGCAAACCTACAGCAGCAAGTTTAGGAATTCAATTTCCTGCACAAAGGCAACCAAAGTCGAAATAATATTTCAACAAATATACACACAATGCTACAAACGGATCAAATCAATTTGCGGCTGCAAGTAAGAAAGTGCAATTGTGCACAGCAAAGATCGCGGGCTACATTTCTGAGGTCCATATTCCCGCCTTCAATTAACCCGACGTATATGGCCGTTCATCAATGCTCTTCATCCAACTTGACGCAGCTGCAGAGTTGGTGCCAATTGGCGAAACCGCACCGTGCATGACGAAAAGTCTCCTTTGTGGAAATGTCACCGATGTTTGTGTCATTGTTTGACACCCACATGCCGAGTCTGACTACATCCTCTTTTGGCTACTTGTGACAGAGAATGACGAACGCGACTGATAATTCAACGTGGTGATCTAATGATGCATTTTGTTGACGGCGATTATCTTTTCTAGGAGGTTAGTCACATTGCTAGTTTTCTGAATGTCACTGCGGACGCGTTCATATTTTGAGGGTTTGTGGTCAGTTTTCTTTTTTCACTGAGTGGGAACCGATCCCAACCTGCCCGCTCACAAGTCAGGCGTGTGTACCGCGACATCATCGGCGACTTATTATAAAAACACTGTTTCTAAATCATTTGACCAATGTTTTTCAAAAAAGGGTCCTTGTTCATGTCGGCGGGTTAACTGGAACCTATACCAGCTGACTTTGGTTGAGTGGCAGGGTACACCCTGGACTGGTCGCTGGCCATTAAGAGGGCATATACAGGGCCTATGCCTGTGTGTGTGTGTGTGTGTGTGTGTGTGTGTGTGTGTGTGTGTGCGCGGCAGTCTGCAGCTCCATGTCGGTGTGGCTTCAATACATCACTGACACTCAGATGGATTACAGATGTTTTGTTTTTTTTTTTCTTTATTACAGCACTGCAACACAGTATGGCGGGAGCAATGGTGAAGCAGCATTCAGTCTCCAACAATGATCACTCTGCATTCCTCGTGGCTCTAACTGACCACTAAAATCTTGTTTCCACTCTTATGAGAAAAAAAATATATACATGTGTGATCGTATAGTACTTTAACCAAAGCATTATGGTAGAAAATGGAAGAATTTTTGCAACTAAAAGAGAGAGAGGATATTCACTGGCGTTTACGAAGTGTCAGTGAACACACCACAGAGACGTGACTGCGAACACAAACCGGAACTGTGGCCGCGGCGAACTGCGGGTTCGCCCTCATAATGCGGTTCAATAAATGAAAAATAACGACATGGACAACAGGATACAGCAAAATTGACAAGAAATAAACATTACCTGCAACATAGTGTGGCGGGAGCAATGGTGAAGCCGTGTTCCATCTCGGATAACTATCTGCGCAACAAACGAGCATTTGCCAATCAACTCAACACGTAAAAAGTTTCAGTGGGCAAATCGTCACTTTAAGAACGACACAGAAATCAATGTGCGCTGGGAACAATTAAGGGAACTAATGGAGCACGCCGCGCAGCGATATAAGAAAACCAAATTGAAATATTACTCTCGAACTGTGAATCGATCCGCACTGTCGACGGGTTGCGACTCACCACTTAGCTTTAGACGTTAGCTCTGACTGACTCTACGGCGGGAAGC